GAAAGAGGCCTGATCCCAAAGGCCCTGGGCTGGCAATGGGCACATGGAGCGCTCAGGGCAGCCAGGCCCTCATGTCCTGCCACTGAGAACAATCCTCCTCTGGCTGCTCCCTGGGCAAAGGGAGGGAGAACACACGGGTGAACCATTTTACACAGCACCAGTGGCAGGGGCATTCACAAGCCTGCAGCTCCCCCTTGAGGCCAAACACAAGGTGTGTGCCCCCCAAGGAGCTGGCAACTCAAGTGGTGCTACTACATCTATTCTTACCCCACAGGACATCACCTCCCTTATTTGCCAGCTGCTCCCTTCTCAGCACTGAGCTCTCACTCTAAAAACAGAGACACACATGTGCCCAAAAGCCAGGGTACATGGTGGACCCACCTATTCTTCAAATCTGCACTCTGACCCCAAGTCATCATAAAACAGCTGCCATTACGCAGGACAGGCTGTCTGAGCAGAGTCCAAGAACACCTAGCTCCTAGCAGCACAGGTTGAAGGTGCTCTGTTGGGGGTTCAGCTGAGGTGACAGCCTATACCTCATATTCCAGCCTGCTCTTCCACATTGCTCCAACTGGCAGACTGAGCTAAAAAATACCTAGGAAGTCTCAAGCCACTGGCGATGCCTGCATCCAGACATACAGGGCAGCACTACATTCACATTAGAAATGCTGATCAAACCCAGCCCAGGTTTGCTGAACCAAGTTATTTAACTTGATTTAGCCCAGACCACAGAACATCCCACAGCTGATTGTACAGCACCTGCTCCCAAGTCAGTCAACAAACAGAGGTCTGGTCCAGGGGCAGCTGCATGGGTTTGAAGCAAACACCTGTGTGTGTCTCACAACTTCTAAGGTTATGTCCTAGGTGCGCCTGTCTCCTAGGGGGCAGGGACGGAGCCATGTTCCAAACTAGGCAGGTGCGGCGCAATGTGTAGGACCCCCCATGGTTCTGTCTGCACTGTGCCTGAGAAGTAGGGCAGCAGGCTTTGATCTAGTCAGCTTGGGTATCAGCTGCCGTTGCACAAGCTAGTAACTCCTCTCAGCAACCAGAGTCTTGGAACATGGGCCAGGCTACCACAATAGGGGGCTAAGGCCTGAGAGTTTCCCAACCTGTTCTGTCATCACACCTGACTGCAGGATCAACTTCCCCTTGGCAAAACCAACCCCCACACAATTTCACTGAGAGCTCTGCTTTAACGCCAGCCACAGGGCACGGTAAGCAACACATTCTGTACCAGTCCTGGAATGGCTGACAGTCAGACAGCAGCAACAGCTAGAGTAAAGCCATTCAGTGATCTAGGAACAAAAGTGACAGCTTTATTGCTACATTCAACACCACCAATTTAAGGACATGTACTCCTGGCCATTGGTCCCTTGCTGGGCACTTCCAGCTGTCTTTCAGGTGCACAGCCCAGCTCTTTCTGCTGATGGCAAAGTTTTGGTGACCCACTGGAGTTCATACAACTGTTGCTAACCAATTATGACCATCTTGCATGCAACTTTCTTTGGCAGGATTTCCAGCAAACTAAGCAAGTTGACAAGGCACTCAGGCTTATGTGTTCAGAGCACA